CTTTGAAATAAATATTTATTGATATCTTCATATATCTTTAATTGTTGCCTCTTTCATAATTGCAAATTACCTTAAATTTTCTTTATTAAGTTTTATAAAAACACTCTAAAGACTTTGACAAAATATAGTAATAAGAGATATTATACAAAGTATTCTCTATTATTAGTATCTCTAGTTAGTTGTTCTTTTTAAAGAAGTAGAAGCAATCTAACAAATTAGCACTGACTATAAGATACCTTCTCAAACTCTGCAAATATTAAAGAAAAATTTAAGCACAAGTTTAATTGTAAAAAACATCAGTTATTACTAAGACAAGTTAATCAATTTTTATTCAATTAAGCAGAAATTTTGTAAATATACTCAGAAAACAATTCTGCAACTTTTCTACTAAGCTTATCTTAAAGCAAAAAAATCTCTCTATAACTCTTAATAAGATCTTCTGGAACTTTTTCTCTAAGAAATAATAGAAAAAATTCTTAAATTAAAAGCTTAAAAGAAGTTTTAATACTCCCAAAACACTAGCAAACATTAAGAAAACAATAGTTACAAAGAGCCTTGAGACTAATAAAACAATATATTAGACTTACAATTAATTTTGTAATCTAAAAGTGACAAAATATGAGTTATATTAATATACTAAAAACAACTCTAAGAAAAGGATATAACATAATGATATTTAATAAAAAGTATTATATCATTCAAATATTTTTGATATTAAATATTGTCATAATCATGAGTTTGATATTATCTTCAATTTTTGAAAAGAAAATAGTTATAGAAAGCAAAAATACTATTAGAAATAGAAATACTAATAAAGATAACTATCAAGACTTTATTACTTTAGTAAACAAATATATTAAAGCTTTAGAACTTACTCTTCAAGAAATACTACAAATTTTGAATTTACTCTTACAGAAGACAAGAAAATTACTAATATTAATCAAAAAACCCCTCTATACATACAGAAGACTTCTGACAAACTGAAATGAAAGTCTAAAAATGAAAAGATTATAGTTAATAAAGAAATAAAAAATTACAAATTAAGAACAATCAAGAAAACTTCAAAAAAACTAATATTTAATCTACAAAAGAAAAAAATTGTATTGGAATTATAATTACTTCTAAACTAAACTAGAAGATTTATCTTAATATATATTTCTTCTTAGAAGTAGGCCTAAACCAGAGTTGTGAATGAACAATAGACAAGCTAATAGATACAATAGACTATCTAATAGTCTTTTGATATCTAATCAAATTATTAGATATAAACAATAGACAAAAATATATTAATTAATTTAACCTATAATACATTTAAATTTTATTAATTAAAATATAATATAGATCATTTACTAACATTTGTTTTACTAGTAGCTCATTTTATATATGAATATTATACAATATAACTATTATTAGTTATATATATATCTGATATATATGTACATATATATATATAAACATATGTATATAGATATGTTTATTAATATGTAGTTAACTATTAATAAAATATTATAATAAGTAATCAAATAAACTTGTTAAAATATTATACAATAAATTTTGATAATACTACATATACATATATATTTATAGTTGAGCATATTTGCTACTAAACAATATCTCTTATTTAGATTCGCATTAATTTAGTAGATTAACAAAAAAATTTTATTTATTCAATAGAAAATATAATAATTTTTGTTCACTATTCAAAAAAGATATTTGTATCAAAAAGAATAAGTATATTGTGCAAAATAATTTTGGCTATTGTTATTAAAAATAGAATTAAAATTAAAAAGATCATTATTATAAAAAATAAAATTAATTTTAAAAGAATAAATATTTGAAATTTTATTAAATAACAGAATTCACAAATACAGTAATTCTAGAATTAAATTACACAAAATTAAATAATATTTATTACAATATAATATTCTTTAAAAACTTAAATTTTTACTTATTGTTTTATCTTAGAAATACCAAAAAAATTATTCAAAACATTTTACTAAAAAAATTTATTAAATTAAATAATATGTATCACTAGTGAATTAAACTAGTTAGATAAGTTAAATAAAATGAATGAGATAATTTCAAACTAGAAGTAATAGTAAGTATATTAGTACTGTATATAGTTAAAAGATATGTGAAAAATAAATTTATATTTATTTATTTTTTATTTACTTAAAGATCAAAAAACTTTTCATTATAGTATATAAAAAAATTATTTAACTAATCCTCTTCTATAAATTCTTTACTAATACTATTTACTGAATCTTCATAACTATCTTCCATTTCAGTTCTATTCTCTTTTTCAGCTATACTCTCATTTCTAATAAACTCTATCTCTTTTTGTTTTCTTAATACTTCTCATGTTTTAGCCTCTATGATATAATATAGTGCAACAAAATCTGATACAAACAAACCTTCTAACTTCCGCTTAGCTAATTTATTATCAGCTAGATGAGTTGTATTTTGTACAACAAAATTTGTAGTAGAATTGGTTATGTCTAACTCATCTTCATTTTCATAAAGTTAGCTTGCATCTTCTTCCTCATCTACTATAGAAAACTAGGTTTCTAATACTTCTGACTATTCTGCTGCATTTGAAATATAACTTCCACTTGCTTCATTAGATAATTCATCATTATATCTAGTTCTAGGCTCTTAGTTATAAGAAGTGCAAAATTAGAATTTATAAAATTTATATTATTTTTAATTTTTTCAATTCTATTTTTATAAAGCATTAAAGCATGCAATTTACTTATATTAAAAACTTTTTCTGGCTATAAATTAAAGTTAGTATAAATAATAATAACTTTATAATAAATAATAGCAAGAAAAAACCAGAATTTAGATTTTTATATTTATAATTTAGGCTATTTGAATTTGAAGATTCATTTAACTTTTTTTTTAAATTTAGGTTTGAAAGGAGAAAAGGTTTAAACAACTATTAATTAAACTGCAGAATATTAACATAATATATAATTATAATATAATTTAAATATTATGCTTGGGCTTGTTTAATTTAAGAAAAAGTAATTACTCAAAGTAGAAAAAAATATTAAACAAATTTTTAAACTCAAATAGCCTTACTAAGTTTAGTAAATTATAACTAAATCTAATAAGTTATAATTTTAAAAGTCTAAAGCCTTATTTCTTTTTAACATAATTTATACTTATACTTAATCAATTTCTTTCTTTAGTATAAAAAAAACCTATAGATAAAAATAACATCTCAACAGATGCACTATTAATAAGTATACCTTAAAGCCTTAATGCTACTAAAGAAAGCTTATAACAAATTTCAGCACAGTATTTCTAATATATTTTTTTTTTTTTTTTTTTTTTTTAAACAAGGTCTTTTCTCTAGCTCTTTATTAATCATATAATGAGAATATATAAACAATATAATAAGAATACATGAAAAGGGGAGGTAGAAGTAAGAGCTACTTTACTCTCAATCTAAGCTTAGCTAGATAGGTCAAAAACTTCTAGTCATCGTAAATTAGTGAGATAGAAAGTAACCCATTTAGGGTATATTTTTGAAATCTATCTAATAAAGAAATTTGTAAAGGTGGAGTTGGTAAAAGATTAGATGTAAATGTAATAGGAGGTGGAGTAGAAAGACAAGATTCATGAGCAATACGATGAGAAGGAACCTAATATTCCTCGTATATAAGTTTGATTAGAAGATGATAAAAAATAGGAGTATATTTTTGTCTGTTAGTTAAATTTTTAAATGGAGCTAAAGTTTCTTCAAAGATAACTCCTAGTGGTGCCTGTCGACTAATATAAATATTCTTAAAGTTTGTAATAAAGTTTGGTATATTTGAAATTGGAAGATCAAAGTCATCTCGTAATGTATGAAGAATATCATAAATAGCAAAATCTATTGAAGAGAAGTTGCGTATGCAAGTTAATAAATGTGCTATTGTTTCTGGGCTTGAGTTACATTAAGCACAGAGATAATTGTTGTAATGTATTGGATTCCGTTGATGAAGAGTAAGGGCAGTTGGAAGTTCATCAGCAATAAGTTTTATCTTAAAGTTCTTTAAAGTTGAAATACTAGGATTTGTGCATAGTGATAGTGGTTTTTCACTATAAGTAAGATATGCAAAAATTATTGCCCATTGAACTGAGAAGTTTGGGTCTTTCCATAATTGAATACGATTTTAATTTAGCTAAGTTAATCTGCAATGAGTTTTTGTTATTTCCTTAAGGACTGTTTTGATATTGTAGATACAAGGTGTTGATAGAAGACAAGGTATAAA